GTTCAGCAGCACCAGGGGAGCTCTTCTTTCAGAAGACTCTACTGCGCCCTTTGCCTCCAGTTTGGAGCTTTCTTAGAAGGACCATAATCACACACCATAGAATAATTCAGGACAGTTGTCTTGCAGGTAAAACTCGCGCTTACTTCCCTTGGAGGTTTACCTTGAGAAGTGGTTCAGGACTGGCTCTTCAGTGTTGTAGGCTGGAAAGTGGGAGAGCTGACTGAAACAGCCTCAGCAGGTGGTGAACTAGCAGGAAAATGCAGTTTTCACTGTCCCCAAAATGCTCGACAGCCTGAGCTGAATTCACTGAATAGCTTCTCCTGCATTTGTTTTGTTTTGTTTTCAGAAGAGGGTTCATGAGATGGTTAGAGGTGTTGTTCTTCGCTCCTTTTTAGGCAGCAGATTGGTAGGACATTCATGCAGGCAACAGGGAATCTGCCTCCGTACATTATCTCCCAGAGTCTGGATGAACCCAGAGACTCAACCTCTTAAAAAAAATCTCCTAACAACCTGGATGGTGGACAGTTGAATGGCTGAGGGTCCTTCAGGATGTCTGATGATAAGATTTCAGTTGGTATAGAATAATTTCCTAGCCGCTGGGACAGAGTTTCCATGAGAAAGGCTCACCAGCATGATTGCTAGGACTTTCACCTGGAAAATGGGAACACAGTGCCTCAGTCCTGGTATGAGTAAATATTTATCTAAACCAGGTGGAATAAGATCAACGGGAGGCATGAGGAACATGGCAACCTGAAATACCAAATAGTCTGGTAGTCAGGGTATTATGCCGGGAGATCTGATACTCCAGTTTAAATCTTCTCTTGGTCCTCTATGTCTTCTGTGTTAGTCCTCACTCCTGGATAAAATAGGGTGTTCTTTTCTTCTCCCCACTCAGTTTCATAAAATCAGTCATTCATTTTCTTTGCTCTGTGTACATGTATCCAAAAGAAAGCATTTCATTTTGTATCAAACAGATACAAAGCAATCCAGCTTTTTTGTTTCTGCAGGGAAAACCAAGGAAAAAGAGTATTTTTGGTTCTACCCAAAACTTCTATATGCATAGGAACACATACATTTTGCTTGGTTTTTTTTATTGCCAAAGCAATAAAGCCAATTACTCATGCAGCCCTCGACAGCAGACAGGGGTCATCAGCTTTCCCAAGCCACGCTGGAAGTTGCCTCCCTTAGGAAATTAATGAAGTATTAACCACAGTTTTATGTTGCTATATTACAAAGGAGAGATTAGAAGATATGTAAACTTACACATCTGCAGTATAAACAAAGGATCAATTGGACTAGCAAGAGATGACAACTTTGGGTAGTAAGAGGGTCACTCATTCGGAGAAAGAAGCTGTGGTTTTGCGGTGCTGAGACTTGCTCTTCAGAAAGCAGGGAGTGACAGTAGTGTTGGGGATGGCAGTTATCACAGGGAGGCTGAGGCGGGAAAACTAAGGACTCCACCACAGTTTGCCACAACACGTTATGTGCAAAAGAAGCTTTTGCAAGTGTGCTTCATCTGACTATGGTTATCATGTAAGTGTGGTGAAACTAAACTAGGCTAACAGAAAAGGAAGAGAGTATCAGCTGAGACTCAGCTTACTACAGATCTAGGGTAATGTCCAAAATTCGTGGCGCATTTTGAACCTGTGAAGCGGATGGAGCAAAGGTCTATCTGATAGAGCAAAGGTCTAGATCAAGGCCACTCGCCACCCCCTCCAGCTGCTAGCCCAACTCCTTGCCCAGAGCTTTTGCCCCTTGGCTGCGGAGGTGTGGGAGGAGGCCGAGGAGGGGTGTCCTTCCCCTCTCCCCACTCTCCAAGGTGGGCAGACGGTGCAGGAAGGAGTGGGTGGAAGAAAGAAGGAGCCCTTCAGCCAGAGATGCCGATGCTGTTCCCCAAGTGCTGGCCAGCACAGGCTGAGCAGCCTGGTTTTGATCTGGGCCAGCTTTAGTGGGGGTGAATTTGGCTCCGGGTGCTGCCGGCAGGGTTGGTTAGGCTGTAGGTGTCTAAGTCCCTCTGTGGCTCTGGCTGAGTGTGCTGGGCAGGTCCTCTACAGAGAGGCCACCTTCAATCCAGACAACCTGCCTGGGGGCTGCCCCATGACCAGCTCCTGCTGGTTTGGGTAAAAAGAAGGGATCCTTAAACCACCTTTGCAGTTATAAATGCAACCTTCTGTTTGTTTGGGAGGCAAGCTCTTCCCGATGGGCTTCATGCATTTTTTCCTCAGGAAGCTGAGCTTCAGTTGATTATCTATCCTATTATCAGATTTCAGCAATAAAAATAAATCCATTGCCTTTTTATTGATAGAGCCAGCTGTTGTGAATTAGAAGAGCTTGTTGACTTCAGCATTATTCAGCTTATTTATTCCAGCTGACAAATGTGCTCTAATAACTAACTGTAGCTTCTGTCATCTTTCATCCCTTAAAGCTGGAGAAGTAAGAGCAGAAGTAGGCAGGTTTGGGAGTAGAGCCGTGATTCAGCCACGTCCTTTTCATGAGCTAAAGTTTGTTTTCCATGTCTCACTTTGGGAGCTGCCCGAGCTGCCTGGATTTGTCATGACATTACCGGGGTGGGGTTTCCAGGCCCGGCGGTCCTGCCCAGGTCCTGCCCGCCCCGGCTCAATGGAGCCAGGATCCGGCCTTGGTTGGGCAGGGATGGGCAGTCTTCAAACAGGACGTGGCTCCGTGTCCTCCCTTCTGGGGTGCCTGAGGGAGGGGTAGCTGATTGATAACCCCACATGGAAACTGCAGGTCCCTGCACCCCACCTTTGTAGGGCTGAATCAGGAAAAGGGTGAATTACACTTTCCAAGCCCGGAAAAAACAGGTAGTGATAAGATATTTGCCTACCGGAACAACAGCGGCAAATATGGGCAAATGGGAACTTTTCAAAACAGCTCCTAGTATTTTTAGCCCAGGTTGAGCAAACACTGCTCAACTCTATTTAAACCCTTCTTCCACTGTGGGGAGACCCAAGCTGTTAAAAATGATGTCTTTTGTGCTAACAGGAGTCTATTTGATGTATTAGAAATAAAAAAAGCCTTTTTGAAAAACTAGGCTGATGCAAGACCAAAACTGGACCCAAAGGTTAGCGTCAAACCTGCCTCATTGAATTCCCCATGCATAGTCACAGGGAAAATTGAGAGAGAGATAAAACATATTTCTTAGGATTAGAGCTATTTTGGCTGTTTTTGGGGGGCAAGCAGTTGTTCCTTCCATCTCTGCATTTCTGGGTAGCGGCTGACGGAGCAGGATCCTGGGTGATGACTGGGTGGAAGGATAGCGGTGATCAACCATTTTAATAGAAGCTAAAGAAAATATTGGAGTCCGGGTTATTTCAGACAAAAGTGACTGCTGGCAATGAGTGTCTCTTTCAGAAGGTGAGGTTTTCCCTGGCTTAAGCACGGCAACAAGAACCCTGCACAGCACTGTTTGGAAATTACCTTTGAATAAATGAAGCCTTGCTTTTCCTATGTCAGGACTGCTAGCTTGGCACGGCTCCAGGAGAGCCAAGAGCTCTACTCTTGTAAAATGATTAAATATGTATACTTTTCACTTAAACAGCAGGCAGGAAGCTTCTGCAATCACAGTTTAGGATAGTCTTTTTTTTTCTTTTTAAGGAATCTTGTCCGAAGACTATCCATTAACAAGTAAATTAAGGTTTTAAAGTTGACATATCCAAGAGTTAATTTTGCATGAAGTCAGCTCTTAAACATTTCCTTTATCAGGTGAAAACGTTGCCCCTTCTCTGTCTGGCACTGCGAATTTTTCCTCTTTAGTGGATCTGGTCAGCCTCATGGAAAAAATGATTGTTTCTTTGTCATTGTAACCCTCCATTTCTCTGTTAAAATAAATGGGCTGGTTCCAGTGCAGCTCAGACGTTCATCTTCGTGCCTACTGGGGCTCCCCTGTGCGTTGTCTTGTGCATGTAGGTGGTGGAACAAAAAGGCTCCTGGTTCAAAGGTATAGTGTTTCTTCACTTGAGATGAAAGGAGCATGTCCTTTAGTGGCCAGTCTTACAGGGATGAAGTGGTTGTGGCTAGCGTTTTGAAGGGTGAGGAATGACTTTAGGCATTTCAAGGTTTGAGGGAGCCAAAGAAGGCTGATTTCCAGGAGGTGCTCTGCACTCGCTGCTGGAGAACTGAGATGTATTGGGTTTCTCCTACCGGGGAAGCAAAACTATAGGTGCCACCACTCCCGGGTCACATTTTTGGTGTTGGCATCTGCGTCCCTTCAGTAGGGGGCAGTGGGACACACGCACATTACCTCTTTCATCATGGTCTGATTTCCAGGTTTTTCTGCACATCACACGCTTTCTTTTCCACCTTGCTGTGTAGATAACCACATGCTGATCTCCAAAAGCAGATCTCACTCCCATCAGCAAGGCTGAACGAGTGGGCTGACCCTGAGACATTTTTTCAGTTTCATGATTTCAAGGCACAGGGGCAAGCTGAGGGCAAACCCTGGCTTTCCACAGTAATCCTGGGACAGCGGCTCTACCTCGAGCCCGCTGCGCTCCCACCCACGCCCTGGTGCGTGCAAAGCTCACACGCTCAATGAAATCTCTCTTTGCTCTTCCCCCCCCTCCAGGCGAGCTCGTCAGTGATGTCTGGCCCAGGAGAGAGCACCAGTCCCGAAAGCAGCAACCTCAAGTATTCAGGTCAAGACGGGCTGTACACAGGAGTCAGCCTGACCTCCACGGCTGAAGTGACGGCGTCTGTGAGACAGGATCCCTGGTGTGCCCTGGCTCTGGCGTGATCCGGCACGAGGGAAGCTGGATCCTGGCACTGCGCGGCAGCCCCTAGATGTCCGCGCACAGTTTCTTCTGCGGAGCGGTCGCAGCGGCAGCGAGAGTGCTGGCAAAGACCATTCCTCTGAAATTGTTTCCGTGCCTTGGCGGCAGAGGTGTTTTTCAGCCTCCGAAAGAGGCTCTGCCGAAGCATCCAGTTCCTCATCTATGCAAGAAAAATATAGGGAAAGCAAACGCCCACCAGGGGATAGCTAATGCAGCCTTACACTCTCTCTCAAAAAAAAAAAAAAGGAAAAAAAAGAAAAAAAAGAAGAGATAAACCTAGACCTATTGATAGATTCCAGAAATACATCCTCGACTTACCCAGCAGCGCTGGCTTTCTGACTGTATAGTTGTTTTCACTCTCTCATCACCTTCTCCCCCAAGAATTTGGCGGAAGTTGTCAGTGTTGGGGAGGGAGTACCAAAGGCTTTAATTACTAGAGACAGCGAGACACTTCTTAATGAGTGTCAGAAGTGCGTACTGCTTGAGTTGGCACAGATGTCTCGCACCGAACATTTGATGTCTTCGCACCATTGGTCCTCTCCTCCTGCACCCTCCATCTTCAGCGTGCCTTGTTCTGCTCTTCAGAGCCCAGCTATGCCCCTGGAAGAAATCACAACGTTTGGTACAAGTCTCACAAGGTCCAGCTTGTTAAGGAGATTTTGGTTTTTGGTTTTTTTTGGTTTAAAATATTTACTCACTTTGCAAGACTGCAATATCACTTTTAAAGTACACTGTGACTGAGGTTTATGAAAGTTTGTATTTTCTGGCTGAACTGTATAGAGTCAGTTGAAATTTGTAAACAGGGTAACAATCAGATATTTTTCTTCCATATATACAATAATTTTTTTAAAGAAGTGCAATTTGCGTTGCAGCAATCAGTGTTAAATCATTTGCATAAGATTTAACAACGGTTTTTATACGAATGAATGAATGTAAACATTTTAACTTAATGGTACGTAAATAATTTAAAAGAAAAACTTAACTAGGCATCCTTAGGCTTTTTAGCGCAACAAAAACCCATCCATTTTCTGTATTTCCAGTTGTTAAAGCAAGAGTTTCAAAGAACAAGACTTCTCTCAGGAAAATTGCCCTAGCTGTTTGCTCGGAAGTATTGTACAAAAATGCAAATGCATCCCCAGGTTTTTTTTTGCCATTGAATAAGTATGTGCTGGAAAGAAACAAATCGCAATGAAACTTTACTACCTAACTGATACATATGTAAATACTCCACAAGATATTTAGGCATCTTGAAAATGTAGGATGCAATCTGTATAGTGTGACTGATGCATAGTTAGGTTGGTTTCCATTGGTTTTTAAGTGGGATGTCATTTGGAAAGTTGTTTCATCAGAGCTTTACAAATAAAAGGGTATCATTTTGGGATTTTTTTTTTTCCTGTACACTGTGCCTTCTCCTTTGTCTCCAATGCAATTGTTAAGCTACATTAAAAGCTGTGGAAATATACCTGATATGGGCGGCGTGTCTGATGGAAGGTCTCCAGCTGAAGTGCCTGCTCTGGCTAGCTAAGTCTGCATTGCGTGCGGCTTTTCTGCAGCTCCACTTTCTATGCCTTCCGATGATACGTAAAGCCAGGGCCCCACTCCTACCAACACAAATCCCTCATGGGCACATGGGAGGTTTTTCTGATGAAAGTCTGGGGAGCTGATCCCCATGCCTTGTGAGGACTGTCGTGGTTTTGCTTGGCCTTCACACCGTAGCTAAAGGGTCTCACCCAGGTCCTCTATGTGTGCAAAGAGCTGCTTGTCACCCACTGCAGATGTAACTGGGTAAAGCCAACTGGGTGGCAGAGCTATCGTGTGCCTGCTGGCATCCTCTGGTGGCCAAAGGTGAAGGGCAGCAAAAACTGAAGGCGCTGCTGCTGAAAAGAGAAGATGGTGAATTTTAGCTACTGAGGGGAGTGGAAAACCTTTCGCTGGCTCTGAGGACCGATCCTCTGCATTGCTCAGCTGATCAGAGCAAGACAACACTGCATGTGATTTCCAGCTACATCAGCAGTACTGTTGGCCTGGGAAGGCAGGATGCCCAACCTCTGTGCCTGGCGCTGCTGTCAACCTGTGGAGTGACTGCAACACGTCTCTTTGCCTCTCTGAGCCAGACTTTCATTTGGGGTGAATTGGGATAGCTCCTTGGCCTCCAGTGAAGCTATGCTGATTTGCACCAGCTGAGAATCTGCCCCTTGCTTTTCCAACCCAGAGAGTTGAGGCCATCTCCTTACCCTGGGGGTGTCGTGAGGACCGCAGGATGAATGCTGCACCACAGCCCTCGGAGGGGAACAGCTTCTAGCAAAAAGGGGGCAGGCCAAGCCTCACCTGGGGTTTGGGCTGCTCCAGCCAGCCAGGAGTGGGGACACCAGCCTTGGTGCTGGGACACCTCATGTCCTTGCTCCCTGGGGGTTGATGTGGCCAGCTACCCCAGCCCTGCTAGCCTTGGGGCCATGTGGGCTTGGATCTCGTGATTTACAAAAATAAATCCCTATCATCTAAGTGCAAAGTGAGCCATACAGAGAAACATTGAGTTTAAAAAGCAAAAGCTGTGGAGAAGTGGGTGAATATCTTCCCTTTTGAAGCATTTGTTGGCTAAAATGTCCTTTTCTGTGATTTTCCAGTGTTCACCCTGAAATGGATAAAAAGCTGTTGCTAACTGGTGAAGAGTGTTCAGCCTTAGCTGGGGTCAGCATCCTTTTTTTCCTTTTTTCTTGCCAGGTGTGAAGTTTGGTGTGCCGCTTCTGAAAAGCTTTGTGCAAAACTCCCTGCCAGGTATGTCAGAGCTGTGTTGCTCGAAGCTATCACAAAACAGGAGGTTTAGACCAGCGTGTCCCAGTTTTGGGCTGCTGACCCAGCAGAAAAAGTCAGCTGGCTGCTGACGCTCTTGCTGGCAGCCTGTGAAAGGCCACCCAGCTTTGAAACCCTGCTGCACAATGTAAGAGTGCTCCCGGGAGGCCCTGCTCCCTTCTCAGCACCACCTTAACCCAGGCTCTGGCTTAGGGTGGTTCCTGCAGATAACAAGTCTTGCAGGGGGCATAAAAAGGTGCCCTATGTGAGAAGACTCCTCTTGGATCTGAGGCTGAAAATGCTTTTTTTAGGAGATATCAGGAAAAAAAAAATAGAAGAAACAGTCTTTCCTAGGGAAGATGTTTCCTATTATTTCTTATCAGCAAAAACATCAAGAATGAAATACTTTGCCACCATGGACCAGAAGCAGAGCTAAATCAGGTTTTCATCCCTTTGCAAGAGGTGGGGGGGTGCAGTACCATGTTGCTTTACTCTATAGATTCTGAGGAGCTCAAAGCCAGGTTCTGTGTTATGATTTTACATAGAAAAAGACTGTAAGAACAGTACCTCCCTACTTATCAAAACTGTTCTCCAAGTGTACCAATTGCTGGAGGGGCTACTACTTGACAAATTAAAGGCTTCTCTTTTTTTTTTTTTTTTTTTTTTTTTTTTTTTTTCTTTTTTTTTTTTTTGGCCCGACCCTTTTTTTTTTTTTTTTTTTTTTTTAATTTTGCCTTTTAGTTCTGCTGAGCCAGCACGGCTCTGGGTGTGTGAGCTGGACTTTGCTCTGGCTCGTACATCATCAATAGCACTGATACTGATGGACGGCCTGGCCAGATGCTTTCCTCACTTATCCCTGTTTCTCTTCAGTGACAGCTCCTGGGATGGGCTGAGAAAGAACAAAGAAAGAGTTTGACCATGGGTCTCGGTTACTAGTGAGGTTGAACAAGCCAGACCGACCCCCGAGCAGTGCTCTAGTACCAGAATAAAGCTTCAGAGTTGACATTTGGGGGAAAAAAACCCCATACGGTTACATGTCACCTTAGCACCTTTTTTTCTGGAAACAACGAAGTTAAATAGCCAATGACTCGAGGCATCTGCTTCAGGCTCCCCCACCAAGCAGTACTAGAAGGCTCACATTTGCTTGGGTGGCCCCTTAAGAGCAGACTGCTCCTGGCCACACGTGCTACCCTGGGCTCCAGTCTTAGGTCCCAGGTTTTGTCTTAGTAGTGTTCCCGTCACGCTCATCTATAATCATATTTTTTCTGTTCAAAGTGCTTGAAATAAGTTGAGATGCCTACGGTGGTCCAGAGTGGTATTTTTCAGCATGGCATTGAGGGTGTATACTGATGCGGTACGGGTGCTGTGGAGGTATGTGAAGGTGCAACAGCCTTGGGTTGGTGACCTGGGTAAAGCGGAGAGAACCAGCCTTGGACAGGTTGCCCAAAGGGAGTTAGAGGTGCCTGGCTGTTTCCAGAACCACAAGTGGGCTTTGTTACATGTGGATGATCAGAAGGCAAGGACCCGGGCGTGAAGTGAGGAGCCAAAGTAGCTGATTGGTTTTGGTTTTCGTGCCGCAAAGCTAGACAGAGCCATGCGCCAGCCCTGTAACATTTGCTGTATAGAACTTGGGTAATTTACTGTCTGTTCCTGCATAAAAATAATATCACTTCTGCTCCTTTCCAAGAGAAGAAGGGATTTAGGAGTTACACCCTGCCCTGGTTACCACGTGCCTTAGCTGAGCACAGGCTGCAGAAACCCCAAATGGACTTCAACTCTTCCTCTGTGCTCACAGCTCCAGATCTTACTTATCCAGCTGTCCTGAACTTCATTCCTCACAGATCCTCCAGTTCCTAAATCTGTATACACTGGACATTCCAGAGTTGTGTCAAACACACTGAATTCAGTATTAAAATATAGGGCAAGGGTTATTGCAGTGGGCCAGCGAGAAGGAAACTGAGGGCTTGAGGAGCAGTTTCAAGTGGTCTCTGCTTCACATGTTGCAAAAGGCTTGAGGTCTTTGTTATGTGTTTGCAATGTGTTTTGGAATCACTTGAAGATATCTGATGAAAGTTAGTATAATATACAGGAGAGGGGAGTAAGATTTAGGTGACCAGGTGGACATGCAGTCAAACAAGAGTTGTCAGAGCAACATAGTAACCAGAAGTGCTAATGTACTTCTTGAACAAATAATCAGGAAAATACTGAGTAGGAGTAAGGAGGTAATTTTACTTTGGGATGCTGCATCCAGACCTGGCATCCACATTTGAAAAGGATGTTGAAAAATTGGCGAGGGTAGGGAAAAGAACTGCAGAAATGATTTAAGGACTGGGGAAAACATTTGGCCTTGACAAATTTAAAGACCACAGTCTGCTTAGAATATCCAAAGGAAGACTAAAAGGTGACTGGTGTAGTAAGTCCCTTCATGGGGAGAAAA